GGCCACACTTTTGAACCAAAAACAAACTTGGTTGAAAATGTTAAACAAAAAATTGGGGAGTTGTTACATCCAATGTACCAGAGTTAAATGAATTATATTGTTGTGAAAATAATTGTGGGTGGGATTTATTTATAGTCAGAATGTTCTCTCTGCAGCTGTCATCAGGAATTGCTGATTTCTACATCTGGGTTGACGAAGTCCTCCTTCCCGGACTTTATCCAACGGAAGCTTATAATGGTGAAAAATTTGTCAACATTAATAAGAATTTAAAGAAGTTTATTGATGATGGTGGTCTTTCCTACAGAATAGGACCTCCGAGGTTTAGACAACTCCGAGTTAAACCAGGTAAATATGTGTCATAGTTCATGAAATCCAAGTTCAAAAAGAATAATGAGTTTTGATGTTTCATATCATTGTATAACGTTTTATGTAAACTGTTCAGTGTCTATATTGTAAGCCGTCTGATTTTGGGCCTTAGGAATCGTTGTTTTCGCGATACCAATGCTACGAGAAAGGCTTTGACAGAGTATTTATTACTATCACTATGGTCATTGTTGTTATCATTGACATGCGCATTCACTCTTTCCATTGCGTGTACACTTCCACTAACAAATTATTTCTAATTCCGTGAATGTTATATTTATGGAAAAGGTAGCTGTCATTATTGATGTTATCATTCACATGATTTTCTCACTCTTTTAGATGCAGTCACTAACAGAAACATCATTCATTTGTGAATGTTCTATTTGAGAGGGTGATCAGTGTTATTATGACCATTAACATATTCGACTTTTCGGGTGTATGTATCCAATAACAGCAACATCATTCCTAATCCATTAACATGATCTTTCACTTTTTTCAGATGCATGTACTCCACCAAAAGAAACATCATTTCTATTCCATGAATGCAATGGGGGCTATATGATGACGGAGCAGGATGAAGCAGATTATGGATATAAGTGGTCAGAACATAATCCCAATGATACATCTAGAAGAAGATTTCGGGATCAAGTGTGGAAGTATAATACCATGACTGAATTGGAAGGCGTTCCATTATACGGAATTGAAAACCTTTACAGTGGTGGTGGATATGTTGCTGTCTTGGGTGAGAAAATCATGATATAGAGCTTTTGAAATGAGGTATTCACTACATAGGTCATGGAGTTATATTGATGGCACAAAGACCACTTGATAGATATAGATACATCTCTAATACATAATATAAACAACACATAATGTGAACAATTCAAGTTCAATAGACAAACCATCTAAGAACTGTTTACGTCTGAAACTTCTCAACAACTGAAATTCCAAATCGTAGATAATACCCATTTTAAAACATAGACAGCCATGTATAGTATTTTAATATTTTCAGATCACTTTTTAATATGGGCCGCCATTTTAATTAACAGTGTGTAACCAACACAGCCTAGGTGTAGTATTATCATTTGCTAATCCATGACTGTTTTCCGCCAAAATTGTCCAATCCAGTCCAGATGGTCACCAACAATCAATAAATGCTTCGTGTAGTCAATGACAATGAATGTTCACATGCATTAAATTAGCCATAGTGCTCTCTCAGCCCATGTTAAACATGATAAAAATGATGAATTTTGAATGACGCAGCCTGGTCACATAACGTATGTGTCAGATCAGTAACTCTCACATAGTTTGATATGTTATTGACTTTATAGACGTTGTCCAAAATTGAACTCATGTTTTTGATACTGTTCATCTATGCAAGGTTATTTCTCGGAGATAATAACAATTATGAAAATGTATTTTGCGAAAGGTGACTAAAAATAAATGTTCAGGTTGTTCTTTTTTGAAGGTAATACTTTATGGGATGCAACTAACAGAGTAAAGTATTTATTTGATAATAGATGGTTAGATGAACGTACTCGAGGATTGTTTGTAGAGTTTACACTCTACAACCCACATGTCAACCTTTTTAGGTAAGTGATAAATGCAATTAAATATGGTTTTGAAAAGCGTGCGCCATTTTAAATGAAATTCACTTTACTGATAAAAACATGTAGCTCTCGGAGTGATAAAACAAAATGATTACACACTCTGTATGTATTCGCTTACATGAAACGCATTTGTAAAAAGTTCACTAACTTAATATTACCAGTAGATCGACAGGAACACGCGGGATTCTTGACGAAATATAGAAATATTATTCAGCCAAATGCATATGGATATCATTGGTGATATATATTATATATAGGTGGATATTTCCTTTACACCCGAGAAAATGCCAATAGCAGCGCTCAGAAAACTACTAATTACATCTATGCAAACATCCAGATGACTGTAGTATATGTGCCTAGACGTCTCGGTGATATGTCATGAATTTGTTTTCGCGTATCTGTTGGTCGACTTAATTAGCTGATTATTAGCGAATTGCTGTGTTATGTCTGTCATCGTTTAGGCCTATTTGAAGTTTTGGACGGAATTTGGCTCAGTGATTTGGAACTAATTACCAGATAACCGTCGCGATTCTGACAGTTTATATTCATAGTTGTTAATGTAGTGAACGATTAATCAAAAGATATGACGTATTCAGTGCTTAGTGTGATTGGCTTTATGATTGAAGGTTACGCCCTAGTCTTTTTACTGCTTTGTAATTGGTTAGAGTTTTGAAAATGAATAAAGAGAGTTTGAGTTGGTCTTGGGGAGCAGAGCACGATAGACGCAGTCTGAGAGTCGAGGGCAGTCCTGGAGAGACTTGGGGCGAGTGTTGACGCAGTCTAGAGCAGTCCTGGAGAGCCTTGGAGGGAGCCTTGACTCAGTCTAAAAGAGTCTTGGGTCAGCCTTGCGATCGTCTTGAGGACTTTTCCCCA